CCCCCCACCCCCGCCCCCAACCACCCCAGCACTTGGCAGCACAGTGGTGTCCCTCTTACCTGGGAACTTGCTACTTCCTGCTGTAGGACAGGCTGTGCTCTAGGGGACTAGGGGCCAACCCCCCATTTTATAATCTGGCAGACATCAGGCCCTATAGTGGGGGCACAAAGGGGGTGCTGGCTCAGCAGACCTGAGAGGCCTCGGACCAGGCTGGCCTCCCGTTACTGCCGAGAGCAGCACTTTCCATTATAAGCCGAGTGCAGGCAACAGCCCGGGCAAGTCAGCCACACTAGGCCTCCGACCACCCTGACTTCTTTCTCATGGCCACAGCCAGGATGGTCCTGGCAAGAGCCAGCACAGGGCAGGTAAAGGGGACCCCCAGCAGAGCACTGCCTCTGCTGCAAGGCACTGGTGACTTCGGGCAGGTCTTTGCCCTCCCTACCTCTGTGCCTCCAATCACTGGTGACCTGCAGTGTCCCTATCAGGTGCTGCACAAAGGTAAAGTGGCATCGGATGCAGGAGAAATGGTCTATGATGAAGCAGAGGTGGGCTTCAGCAGCCCTTTCTTGGTGCTAAGCGTGGCACTAATGCTTTATCCTTGTTGCCTCTGCAAATCCTGCTGCTGATTGGCTGCTTGTGTTATGTCCATTGCACAGATGAGGAAGGTCGGGGCTTGGAGAGGTCAGCACCCACCCAGCTGGACAGGCAGGTGGCCCTGGGTCCCTGTGCTTCATCTCTTGCCATTCAGCCTTGGCCCTGGCCTGCGGCCCTCACCCTCCCTCCTGATATCTTGCAGGCCTGGGTCTCCTTGTGCTCAGATGGGCTCAGCATCCAAGGCCTGGGGCCTGTTTCTTGGCTGACCTGCCTGGCATCTCCCATGGATCCCCACTACTTGATCCCAGCTGGTAGCCAGGAACATGACAATCGCTTCAAATGCCACTATATCTTGTTCCTCACTGGCCCCAGCCCCTTGTGTAGGTCCTGGCCACCAAGGGCCTCTTTTGATGACTAAATAGGCACCCAGTGGTCCATCAGGAGGTGTGGGGGACATGAAGAAGCCCAGGTCAGGAGAGACTGGGGACAGCAGAAAGTGACAGGAAAGAAGGCGAACAGACAGAGGAGCAGAAGGGCACAGGGGAGATCAGTGGTGAAGGAGGGAGACAGAGAATCGGAGGCCGAGTGGGGCAGCACAGACTCCACACAAAGGAACAGACCAGTGGTTCAACTCCCTCTCGCCACCCTTGCAGGACAAGGGGCCTCGACAAGGTCATGAGGAATTCACAGGGAAGCTGGGGCCTGAGGGCTGCTCAGCAGGGTTACCTGCAGGCTGACTCCCCAGCCCCGGGTGGGGTCTGTGGGGTGTTTCATGCGTTCCTACATCATCGTTTAGGATCTGGACCCCCATGGAGCCCACTTCTGTTTTGTGATCCTGCTGGCTCAGGGCCACCTCTGTCTCCGCTGCTCCATGCTTCCAGTCCCCCACATCCACAGCCTCACCCCCTTTTATCTTGAGCCAAGGCCTAGGAGGGTGAGACAGGAACTGTGGGACAGGATGAGGCAGGGCAACCACTGGAACCCGGGCCAAGATGCCTGTGGCGGGGGCCACCCACGGGTTCCAAGGCTGGGCTGTCTGGGGCAGTTCCATGCTCCCCTTGGCAAAAGGGTGGGTGCAGGGCTGGGACAGACTCCGTTCTGTGTGCTTCTGTTCTGAACGCTTGACTGCCATGGCCCCCATGACTTCTCTGAGCAGGGAGCCTCAGAAACCCATGCCACTCGCAGCTGAGGAACTGAGGCCACCGCTCACCTTCCTAGCCCCTTCCTCCTCTCTCAGACGGACTGCCATCTTCTAACTCCTAAAGCCAACTCTTAGGCATTCTTTGTGAGTGATTATTTCATAATGAGCATTATTATTATTATTATTATTATTATTATTATCATTATTATTGTCATTAGTGATGATGGGGACGGAAACAATAGAAACACATAATGCTTTTCATGTCCCTGAACAGTTACAAATGCCAGTCATACCGACCACATGGATCCTCAGGACAGCGGACCACTCAGGCTGTTGCACTCACTTATGCTCATGGAAGCTGAGGCTGGGGCGACTAGGGGATGCAAACCAGGCTGCCTGGCTGCATGTACCACATCTCTAATCTTTAATTTTCTTGGTCACCTTTCATCAAAGTCAGACAGATGATCAAGCTGCATTTGGCACCATGCCCCGCCCCCCCCCAAGAGATGGGTGTGGCCGCCGCAGGCCTTCGAAGGATTGGGACACCCGGATGTGGAAAACAAGGCTGGACTTCACCACCGGCGTGCTTGCTCCCAGCCGTGCTCTTTCCTCCTTTCCTCCCCATCAGCCAACCCCAGGGCAAGGTGCAGAGCGCAGAGGAACTCAGGGAATTCTGTAAGGCCTGGATGCCCCGCAGGTGAGCCACAGTTTGCTCTTGGCTTCTGCTGGCAGAGCCACCTGGTCACCTCGCTGGCTTTGCAGACCCTGCAGGCTATGGCCCAGTCCACCTCTAGCTCCTCCGCTTGAGGGCCCCTGGGCTCCAACCCAGGTGGACTACCAGCCCTTTCTTGTCGTTGGACCCCAAGATCCCCCTCCACACTCCGGCTTAGATACCTTTCCTCCCATCTCACTCTGCAAATGAGCCACACCCTTCAGAGTCCAGCTGAAATGCCGCCTCCAGCAGGGATTGGGGGAAATGCTGAATTTGTCAGCCTTACAGAAAGGGTTCACATCACAATCCAGGTTTAGAGAGCAACCTCTCCGCCTGCATTGCTGCAGCTGGAAGGGGAAGGGGCACGGGAGTGGCAAAGGATCAGGCCTGTCATGTTGTCTCACAAGAACCCCACCATGTAGTTTATTTGTGTCCTATTTTACAGTCAGAAATGGAGGAGGAATGACTCAAGGTCACAGGCTAGAAGGCCTGACTTTGGACTCTGCATTCAGTGTTCACTGTCCCCTTCCAGTCCCATGGCGCTGGCTGAGGTTGACCTTCCACCTCTCACCGTTCTCCTGGCTGTCCCCTGGGGGAGGCGACCTGCCCTGTTCCCTCCCAGCCGAAGCCAGAGCTGCTGACACCTCGGCCCTGGGGCTGTGGCCAGGGCTGGCTTTTGTTTCTGCTACCTACTTGCTGAGCCAGGGCTTTGGCAGCCAGGGGCCCCTCTCCACTCCGGGCCTATAAGAGCTTGACCTTGGCAGGTCTCAGTTCTGCCATGTTCTCTGGGCCCATCTCGGTAAGTCCTAGGTTTGGAGGGCTGAGCTTGGAGTGAGCATCTTGGGAGGGGGGTGGCCAGGTCCCCAATCCTGGGGAGGTCCCTGTGTCATCCCGAGTGCCATCGTCATCCTAATCAGGAGCAGGCCCCACACACCTAAAATGGTCCCCGTGAGCCTCGTTCAGGGATAGTTCTTTCACGTCCCCTCAGCTGAGCAGCGTGGCGCTGGCCTGGCTGGTGCCCTTGTAGGCACACCAAGGCCCCTGAAGCAAGCAGACTGAACTGCATAGCAGGGCTCAGAGGCGCTGGGACCAAGTGGAGGAATTCAGAGGTGGGGACAGCGTGGACGATGGTGCTGGCTCTAGATGGAAAGGACAGGAGAGGGATGAGACCCTAGGACCCTGCCCCTACCCAGATGAGCAGAGAGGTGAGTCAGCTGTGGCGCGAGGGTCTCACCACCTTCTCTCCTGCAGGAAGGGACCAACATGACACTGCAGTGCACCAAGTCCGCAGGACACTGGAGGGTAGGAAGTGGTTGGAAGGGTGGCCCGGGAGGGGTGGAGGACACGGGTCAAACCAAGACCCCGGAATCTCTGTGTTCACCCCATTGTATCCCTGCCTTGCCTGAGGGAGGGCTCAGAATGCCCATTTCACAGACTGCACCATCAAAGTTCAGAGCCGGGCAGAGACTTGCCGGGTCACACAGAAAGCCTGAAAGATAACTCGGGTCTTCTGGATCCTGAGCTTGGACTACTGCATTCTCTGGCAAAGATCACACTTGTCTCCTGCCTCATCTCTTTGCCTCTGCCCGTGTCTGGGTGGGGGCTAGGGGAAGCATTGTGTTTGTCAGCCTTACAGAAAGGATTCACTTCATGGTCCAGATTTAGAGAGCAGCCTGAAGAATCTGGAGGTCCAGCCTCACTCCTACGAGGCTGGGCCGGTGGCCCTAGACAGAGGCCTTCCTTGCTGGGACCTGTGTTCTTCCTGATCCAACTTCCCTTCCCTGCCTGAGTCTGGAGCGTCTGGGTTTCCACCCATCTGTCTTACCTGTCCACCCAGCCTGAGCCCCAGGGGCTCCCCCCCCCACCCCAAGGCTGAGCAGTCTCCATCTTCTCCAGCTTTGTTCTCTGGCACACAGGTGGTGGTGTGGGATGAAGAGGGCTTCCAGGGCCGGCGGCATGAGTTTGCAGCTGAGTGCCCCAGCGTGCTGGAGCTGGGCTTCGAGACCGTGAGATCTTTGAAAGTGCTGAGCGGAGCGTGAGTATATGTATGGGGAGGGCGAGAGGAAGGGACCTGGAGAGGCAGCTGGGAATTTTAGATGTTCTCAGCCTTATCTTCCCAACATGCTGTATGTGGCTCCAGATAGGCCACTGCTCTCTGAGCCCCACCCCCTTTCCACAAGAAGCAGAAGCTAAAAGAATAGTGACCATGGTGTGTGCCCGTGGGCCCTCCTGCAATGCAGAGGAGAGTGTAGGACTGCTGTGTAAGGTTGCCCAGGTTGTGCACTGCCCAGTGGAGTGGGTGCCATTCACACATCCCTGACCACTGGATGACACAACTCTGCTGGGTCTAAAAATAGCCCTCTTCGGCATAAATTGAAAGCCAAACTCCCCAAAAGTAGAAGGTAGATGTACAAATATAGTTTTTTAAAGGTGCTATTATTTTTTGCAGCTAAATGTGGCTATCCAAAATGCTAGCCATGGTCCTCTTTTTGGAGGAGAGATGGAGAGAGATGGATAGGGTTACGGTTAGGGTTAGGCTGGCCACCTTCAAGGCAGGGAGATACGAACCTGGATGGAATCAGACCATGCATTGACACAGAGGCGACCACTGCAAGGTGCATGTAGCTTCAGGCTCCGGGGTCCCTCGCCCCATAGAAGACCCAGAGTAAAGGGTCATAATTTGGATGGACAATGGGTAATGGCATGGTCATGTTCCTGTGACTGAGGAACCACCCACTCAGCCCCCTTTGTCCCCTGCAGGGTATTGGGTGGGAAGTCCCAGTCTCAGGATCTAGAAGGGCAGAGAGGAGAGGTGGCATCTAGGCCATGCCCCACACTCTCTATCTCCCTTGGGCCCACACCATAACCAGGAATCCCCCTGGCAGGCCTCAGTGAGCCCTGCATGCGTGGCTGTGGGGCGATGTAGGTGCAGGGTGGCTGGGGCACCTGTGTGGGGCAGAGGTCCTCTACCCTTGGGGCACACCAGCGTTCATGGCTAAGGATCTAGGCAGCGCCTCTGCCCAGCACTGCTGAGGCTCTGAGCCAGGTCTGTCTCTGTGGGGGGTCCTCCTTCATGCTGCAGGGTAGGGTTCTGGCCCAGGGACTATGAGGAACCAGCCGCACAGCAGGAGGGGGGCAGCAGGAAAAACAGTGGGTTTATCTGAGTGCACAGACATGCCGCCCTGTGGCTCCCGTCACCGCCTGCACTTTTCTTACTGCCAGAGCAGCAGGAGTGACAGAGTCTCACAGGCACTCAAACCCTATTGCAAACTTGTGTGCCAGGGTCCAGGTTGCTGCTCCTTAGCTACAGAAAAACTCTTCCATGAAACTGGTCCTTGGCGTCAAAAAGGCCAGGGCCTCCTGCTCCAGGATGGTCAGCAACGTCCCTGCCCTCTGTGTACAGAAAGATGGTTGCAGCCTCTTCCCTCAGTGACAGCCACAAGTGTCCCCAGGCCTTGCCAAGTCTTCTGCAGCTGAGTCCCCTGAGTGAGAACGCTGGCCTGGGGTCCTCACCGCCCGGCCCTGCCTCCCTCTCTCCACAGGTGGGTGGGCTTCGAGCACGCTGGCTTCCAAGGGCAGCAGTATGTGCTGGAGCGTGGTGACTACCCGTGCTGGGGCGCTTGGAGCGGGAACACATCCTATCCCGCTGATCGCCTCACCTCTTTCCGGCCCGTGGCCTGTGCGGTGAGTCCTGCTACCTGGCCTCTGGGAGACCAGAGCCCCATCAGTGGGTGCTGGGTCACCAGACATCCAGAGTTCAAGTTCTCCTGTTCCCTGTTCAAGCCACGTGGCACAGGCAGGCAGTCTCCTTCCACGCAGCTCACAGCCCATGTCTGCAGAGCAACCCTAAAAAGCAGGTGTGGCTAGTTCCACTTTAGAGATGTGGAAGCAGGCTCAGACATGCTGTGTGCCAGGCCTAAGCTCAGACACCTGAGTAATTCCTTTTACCAACCACACAACATCCCTGTGTGCCATTGGGACCCATTGGACCTCCAGGGCCACCCCCGACCCCTATTTCTGCTGCACTGAACACCCTTGCTGCTTGTTGCGTCCATGATTGCTTTCCTGGTGGAAAACCCTGGGAGGAAAGATGATGAACCCCCTATAAGTTTTGAGTGCCTGCCACCTTAGTGGCCTTCCAAGAAGTTTGCCGAGGAGGCTGACTGGGAGACCACAGCAGGACTGGGGGCTTGTGGGTAGCCGGCAGCGTGCCAGGTGGTCTGATCCTGCCTCCCGTCTGCATCTGCAGAACCACCGTGACTCCCGACTGACCATCTTTGAGCAGGAGAACTTTCTGGGCAGGAAAGGAGAGCTGAGTGATGACTACCCCTCCCTGCAGGCCATGGGCTGGGACAGCAATGAAGTGGGCTCCTTCCATGTCCACTCTGGGGCGTAAGTGGGTCTGACACTCTGCGTGGTGGGAAAGAGAGGGTGGTGGGAAGCATAGGCCATGGGCTGTGAAAACTGTGTCCTGGGGGCTGACGCCCACCCTTCAGAGGATGTACAGAAACAGGGAGGTCTCAGGCAGAATTTATGCAACTGCAGGTAATGGAAACCTGGACTAAACCTGTTTAAGCCTAAATAATATTTGTTGGCCTCTGTAATGGGCTTCAGCCATAGCCGGATCCAGGCTCTATGATGGGCTCCGTCTGTCTCCCCATTGCTCCACCTGCCTCAGTGTACTGTATTCTCAGATCCACTCTTCCCAGTTAAAGACAAAGACAGCAGCTTTCTCTTTACATTGCAGCACCAGGGATAGAGACCCTTTCACAAGGACTCCATCAGAGATTCCAGGAAAGGTGCTCAACTGAGTCAACATGAATCTTGTTCTCCATTCCCTGAACCAATCAGCATGCCCAGAAGAATGGAATGCTCTGATTGGCTAGATCTGGTCACACACACATGGCTGTCTTCAGCACTGTTTTCCCACGTTAACCTAGGGGGGAAAGGATGACAAGACCTTTGGCTTGAAGAGGGCAGGAAAGAGGGGTGTCCAGCCATAAAGACCCAGTGCAGAGCCAGCAGCTTGCTCTGCCCAACAGCAGAGAGGAGACTAAGTCTAGCTGCTGGCTCAGGGTGACTCCCATCCTTCCCCAACAAGGAAGCAAACGAAGACCCAGATGTGGGCTGCTCACTTGGGGGACATCAGAACCACCTTCTCAGGGGTCCTTTGGCCTTTAATAGGCAGCGATGAAGTTGAGCAATTGGGTATTTTTTTTTTTCCTTTAGTTTTCTGAGGAACAACCAAAGAATCCCATTACTTCAGAAAAGATGCCTCCACCTTCCCATGAGTCCATCTCCCTCTTTTACAGACAGGAAAATGAGGACTCAAAAGTCTAAACAACAATCTTTGTCCCAAACAATGTGGGGATTGTTTGGGACAACAAATTAAACAACATATTAAAATAGCAGCTCTTTTCTTGGAAGTGGTTCTGGGTAAGGGAGCAAGGGGAAGCCCCTTCTTTTATTCATCCATTGGCCTAATGTTCATGAGGCTCCTCTTCTTCTCTACCCAGATAGGAGACATTAGGCACTGGAGGTGGAGCTGAACAAACCACATTCTTCCTTGCACCAGCAGCTGCTGGCAGGGAAAGCTGACATTTCACAAATAATTCTAACATTTACTGAATTATAGGAGTGCTACAAAGGTGTAGTCAGGGACTGACCTGGAGGGTAAGTCAAATGGCCCTGATAATGTCATGATTGCACGGGCAACCAAAGCGCAGACTCAAGGTGCCAGAAGGGTGGGGTAAATGGCATGCTCAAAGGCCCTATGGCCAGGGAAAGCGTTGATATACTCCAGGTAATGGAGGGAGGCTGGGATGGCTGGGCTGTCCTGGTGGCGTGCCAGTGTTTCTGCAGGTAACTGTCTCTCTCTCCCCTTTTTCAGCTGGGTGTGTTCCCAGTTTCCTGGGTACCGAGGTTTCCAGTATGTGTTGGAGAGTGATCACCACTCAGGTGACTACAAGCACTTCCGGGAGTGGGGTTCTCACGCCCAGACCTTCCAGGTGCAGAGTGTGCGCAGAATCCAGCAGTGAGCCAGCCTGGGGGAAGAGCTCAGGCTCACACAGGTGCCTGCTGGTGTAGCTCTGGCGGCTGCCATGTGCTCTGTTCTTTTGCCACCCTCATGTCCCCTTGGAGCCCAGCCCCCATGTCAGCCTGCCTGTGCACAGTCAGCAAAACACCTTGATGATGATGATGATGATGATGATGATGATGATAAAAAGAAGGTCCAGCATTCGCTGTGCTTTTCAATTTTACTGATGTTTCCCACTAGTTTCTCTTATTGCTTTTTTCCTTCCATCATTTGGAAAGGAGCAGAATGGCCTGGGGTGTCAACAGAGCCTGCTGAGGGGGGGAGGGGGACACTGGCTGCTCCCGAGGGCAGGGGAGTGTGTAGGAACATTTGCATGTAAGGAATTTCTTACCCTTCATTGTTAACAACTCACACATGTCCCATATCTGGCCTGGGAAACACGATGGCAAATAAGTCACATGAGCTGTTCTTCTTTCCCTGTCAGAGGGGAAGACACAAATGCACAGCAGGTTGCACACATCCCAGGTTAGCAGTGGTACTGGGGAGCACAGGGAAGCTGCGCTGGAAGGCGGTGGGGAGAGGGTAGGATGGGGACAGACCATCCTTGGTGCTCCCCTTGGGACTCAGCTCAAATGTCCAGCCATCTGCTGGTACCTCCATGTGGACATCTTATGTAGGCCACACTCCAGATCAAGGCAGTCAAAGGCCAAAGTCCCCACTTTCATACCCACTTCAAGCCAAACCACTGGGACTATGTGCCTCATTCTCTGTCTCTCACATGCCATGACATGACCTACCAGCAAATCCTGCTGGCTCTGCTTGGAAACCACACTGCGGCTAGGAGCAGAGCTCAGGAGCAGAGTGCTGGCCCAGCATGCTTGCAGCCTGGGGTCCATATCAGCTCTGCAAGCAAGAAATGTGCCAGACTTAGCCACTCTCCCCATCGCCACTGCTCAGAGCCTTCCCACACTCCCCTTCCTATACCAAGAGTTAGAAACAAAAAGATGTCCAGCACTCTAGGAGGATGAGACAGGTGGATTGCAAGTCCAAGCCTGGGAAGATGGTTTACTTTTAAATTAAAAAGGCCTGGGAAGATGGTTTACTGTGAAGAAGGCCCAAGGTTCAAGCCCCAGCACCACATACACATGAATGCACACACATGTTTCTCCATCATCTGTGACTGGTGCAACTTCCAGGATACAGACCCAGCCATCCACCCATCCACCCATCTATCTGTCCATCCATCCAACCACCCACCCATCCATCCATCCATCCGCCCAACCACCCATCAACCCACCTACCCACCCACCCACCCAACCACCCATTCACCCACCACTCACCCATCCATCCATCCACCCACTTACCTACCCACTCATCCATTCATCCATCCATTCACCCACCCACCCACCCATACTCTCACCTACCACCCACCCAACCATACTCTCACCCACCACCACTCACCTATCCACCCATCCACCCACCCATCCAACCATTCATTCACCCACCCACCCATCCACCCACCTGCCTACCCACCCACACATGCACCCATCCACCTACCCATCCACCTAACCACCCATTCATCCATCCATCCACACATCCACCCACCCACCCACCCATCCATCCACCCATCTACCCACCCACCCATCCATCCATCCACCCATATACCCACCCACCTATCCACTTATCCATCCATCCATCCACCCACTCAACTATCCATCCATCCACCCACCCATCCATCCACCCACCCACTCATCCATCTACCCATCCATCTGTCCATCCAACCACTCATCCACATACCCACCCACCCACCCACCCATCCATCCACCCATCTACCCACCCACCCATCCATCCATCCACCCATATATCCACCCACCTATCCACTCATCCATCCATCCATCCATCCATCCATCCATCCATCCATCCATCCACCCACCCACTCAACTATCCATCCATCCACCTACCCATCCTTTTATCCCCTCATCCACCCACCCATCCATCCATCCACCCATCCATCCACCCACCCACTCATCCATCCACCCATCCATCTGTCCATCCAACCACTCATCCACGTACCCATCCACCCACCCACCCACCCACCCATCCATCCACCCACCTACCCATCCATCCATCCATCCATCCATCCATCCATCCATCCATCCACCCACCTATCTACCCACTCATCCATCTATCCATCC